GTGGATGAAGTCGAGGTAGAGAGTTGGCTGACTGCCATTCTATGCTCTGTTCTATGATGATGCACAGTGTAGTGTAGCGTTGCGATTTCATCTATACATGATTTGTTCTTCCTGAATCCAGCCAGCCTGCTGTGGTTGTAATTTTCAATGCAGAGCATGTTTTAGTCTCTCCAAGATGATGCGGCTTAATATTTTGCTTTGTCTGGACAGTAGCATGATTCCACACCAGTTCTTGCAAACACTTATGTCCCCCTTCTTTGGAAGTTTGACTAGGTAGCAATTCTTCCAACTAATGCGCAGGTACCTTTCCTGACATACTTACCTACTTACTTCCTTCCTTCCTCCGTGACCGTCTGTAGTAGTAGTGTGAGGATGTCCGCTGTTGTATCTGCATTTGTTTTCAGTGCTTCCGCAAGAATTCCATCTGGTTCTGCCGCGCTTTCTCGCATTTCAGCAACTTGATGGCGTTCAGGATTTCACTCCTGTTTTGTTGGAGAGCTTGTGTTCACTGGTAATTCTGTGGCTGGGCTTCTGCTGGTATTTCTCGACGAGTTGTAAGTGATGTTGGTGCTGGTCGATTCAAGAGTTCTCTGAAGTGTTCAGTCCACTGTTCATTTTGTTTCTCCTCTTTGGGAGTAATCGGGTTTCCTTCACTATCTTTCACTGGTTTCATTTGTGCTCTGTACATCTCTTCCCTACCAGATAGTAACCTGGTTATTTGATATAGTGTTGTCAGTTCTCACCGACCAGCCTCCAGTCTGTTCTGCTTCACTTGCCAGTGTGTCGTAGAATGTCCTTCGTCTTTTCGCACAATCTTCTTCACTTCTTTGTCCAGTGTAGTGTTTTATAGGTTGTGTTCAGTTCCTCTTTCGTTGTTCATACCTCCACTGGACTGCACTGGACTGCACTGCACTGCACTACAATGGTTCATCTTCTACCTCACCATCTTCCCCTCCCTTCTCTATCAGCTTCCATGTCTTCATCGAGATCCATTCCTTGTCCTGTCTCTTCTTCCTCCTCCTTCATAACACAGTTGTGCAGGTTTCCTTACACATATATTTCAAAAACGAGTTCCAGTGTTCTTCCACACCGGTTTATTCAGGGATGCTGCTCGATATCTCACATTTTGTCCTAATAATAACTGACTGACTGACTGACTGACCGACAGTGACTGACGTGAAGATGTCCTGTGTAGTATTTTCCTCCTTCACTCTCCGTTCTGCTTGTCGAACTTCAACTGCGGTCTATGATCACTAGCTTCTTCGAAGGCTTTCAACTTGATTCTGAAAGAAGGTTCCTTGAACTAGATAATCAGTGCTGTGAAGCTGCGTCTACTCCCTACATATGCTCTCCTTCTTCATCTCATCTCATCTGTTCTGATCTGATCTTGTGTCTAGTAGGCTGGCTGAGTCTCCAATTTCTTCACATTCAGATGAAGTCGATCCGATTTTGATAGCAGTGTGTCCTGGTGTCTGATGAAATCGAATCCATGTCACTCGCTTCGTGAATATCTTGGTGTTCGTACTCACTGCCTCCAATCACCAAATCACTGAGTGCACAGAAGTCTTCAATTACTTCTCCATTCACGTTCATTTCACCACATGCCTCCCGATCCATGATTGCTTCTCTTCCTGTGTTGTCCTCTCCCATTTCGCCATTCATGTCACCCCACCCATTAAACTGCATTTCCATGTCGCCATTGTGGTGGGGTCTTGTCCATCAATGATTGCAGTTGTCTGTAGAATTCGTACTCCTCCTCCTCCTCCTCCTCCTCCTCCTCCTCCTCCTCCTCCTCCTCCTCCTCCTCCTCCTCCTCCTCCTCCTCCTCCTCCTCCTCCTCCTCCTCCTCCTCCTCCTCCTCCTCCTCCTCCTCCTCCTCCTCCTCCTCCTCCTCCTCTTCATCTGCATTGTATGATTGTGACCTCCCTCCCTCCCTTCCATTTCAGTTCAATCCATCTTCCTGTCATGATGCTGCTGCTGCAGGAGGAGGAGATTGGCTCCCACTGCATGACAGAGAGCCTTCCATGCTGTTGGGGACATCATGATAACCACTCCATAACTCAGTGTGCTCGTGTTTATCGTCTGGATGATAACATCGGAGTAGATTATTGACTCTTCAGTTGACAGTTTGGAGAGTTCACTTGCATTCCATCTACAGATTCCTCGGAGATTCCTAGCACTTCAATGAAATGCCTTCCCATCTAAGTGTTCATCTGGATAGCCTTTCCAGGCAACTAGGTTCAAACATCGTGTGGGCATTCCATGTCCTCATTCTTACTCTCGCTTTCATCGAGAAAGAGAAGACACATCGGTCAACCGTCTTCCCGAATCCTTTCACCAACCGGTGTCATTTCACCTCTCCGATTCCAGAGAGGAATAAGCCTTTTTTTGTATTGTTTTTCTGCTTTGTAGTTTTTTTTATCGATTGGATTGGTTTTCCGGTGTTTGTTTGCTAGCCTTATGCCCTGCCTTCCCTCTTTATCCGGGCTTAGGACCGTCTAGAAACTAGTTCACTAGACAAGATTTCAAGAATATCTTGCAACTCAATAATTACCAACCTAAATTTATCGATCAACACATAAGTAATCGAAAGGAAACTAGGAGTAGTAATGGTAACGCAGGTTTTACTAATAACAATTACTACTACTATTAGCAATAAGATTAGTTATAATGATGATAGAGTTGTGAGGGGATTCAGAGCCTCTGCTATGTTACCACACAAGGAAGGTACCTAGGAAGCATTACGAAGAATTCTCGATAAGGATGGCTGGGATCAAAGAGGGGTTCAAACCAACAAACTCGCTTAGAGACAAGCCTTGTATATCAAAAGATCCTATCGATACAATTTAACAAAATAATTTAGTTTACCATATCCTTTGCAATGACTGAGAAGTTAATTACATAGGTCAGAGTAGTCGATTGGGATCAACTATGCTAACTGAGCACAAAAGCTTAGTAGATCTTGATAAGATAAGAAATTCAGGGAAAAGCCCAGCTATAGCTATTCACGCAGTTGTACACAATCACACATTACGGCGGTGGATAGAACGACAGCGTTAGAAAGTAAGCAGAGTAAGTTGGAAGGAGAGATTGATAACCGAATCTTTTTTGATGGAATCAACATTAAATGCATACAGTAACAGAAGTGATTCTGCATCTGTTCTACATATATATAGAAAATTCTACTACCGTTATCATCACACAGAAGGAGAGAAAATTAGGAATATATAAACCATGTCTCACAGCTTTGTAGTTATCTTGATATGTCTATGAACAAAAGATTGTGTTCGAAATGGTATCTAGAGCATAATACTGTTCCATTGTATGATGTATCTAATAAACTGTGTCCACGTGTTAGTCTTACAATATTAAGCAACTTCTTTTCTGACCGTGGAAAGAACTATTACCCTTGATTAATTTTGAGGTTTATGAAGATTTTATTTATTTTAAGCTGGTAATCACTATGGCTGGAGAACCACTGAAAACTTGGAGCCACAGGATAAAAGTTCAGTTTAAGTGTCAGACACTTCAGTAGTACCCTAACACCAGACCACCTGAGATTACAATAAAAAGCTTCATATCTGGCAGTGAAATCGTTGACCACGAATACATTCATTCATATTTTTTCACTTCTGTAACCTATTGATAAAGCACAATTATGCAATAAAATATTCTATTGCCATACACTTCGATGAGAAGACCCTAGAATATTTGGATTTCATCAAAGATGATCATTTATGTATAGGCTCTCACCTCCCACTAACTCGAAAATCTACAGGCAAAAATAACAAGTTGAAAGAACACACAGGGCTGGACAAAGCAGCAAAGACAGGACTTCATTCAGCTTCACGTTGAGAAGATACAGGTGATGAAGATACTCAACCAACAAAAAACCATCACCACCACCACAACAACAACAAGCAACAATCAACATCAATGCAGTTTAAAGTTTAAAGCAACTTATCTCCTTCTCCTACCCACATTACTAAACAGCATCCTTTCAAATACAGATGACGACGACGACGACACACACAGATGAGGATATCAAAGATATGATGGGAAAGACTGCAAGTCAGGTCTCCATCAATCGGAAATCAGTGTGGAGATCTAATGAACTACACTGCACTGCACTGCACTGTACTGCACTCAGCATAAAGCGTCAACAACATCCGGATCTCCAACACCAATGTTAGTCAAGTAAGTCAGTGCTTCTATGTGATGTTTGAGATACTTGGCACGTTGTGAGAAGCATTGCCAACAAACTACAATCATATATCATGAATACCTACCACCTACGGTAGCTCGCTCACTGGATACTGACACTGAAGATTAGATCATATGAGACCAGATCAGTTGGTCAGAATAATGAGAATAAGCACAGAGGAACTCTGGCTGGCTGACTGGCTGGCTGACTGGCTGGCTGGCTGGCTGGCTGGCTGGCTGGCTGGCTGGCTGGCTGGCTGGCTGGCTGGCTGGCTGGCTGGCTGGCTGGCTGGCTGGCTGGCTGGCTGGCTGGCTGGCTGGCTGGCTGGCTGGCTGGCTGGCTGGCTGGCTGGCTGGCTGGCTGGCTGGCTGGCTGGCTGGCTGGCTGGCTGGCTGGCTGGCTGGCTGGCTGGCTGGCTGGCTGGCTGGCTGGCTGGCTGGCTGGCTGGCTGGCTGGCTGGCTGGCTGGCTGGCTGGCTGGCTGGCTGGCTGGCTGGCTGGCTGGCTGGCTGGCTGGCTGGCTGGCTGGATAGAGCATACACTAAGAAGATCATTTGTGGACACCACGCTCCAGTGTAATAATAACTGTTTTTAGTTAACCAAAAAAATGTCTAAAGTTATTTAAAAGTCAATCATATAAATTGACTATTGAATATCTCTAAGTCAATGAAAAAAATTTGTTTAAAAAGGTAGTAATTAAATTATTACTTCCTTCTTTTTTTTTCAGACATATTATCTAAATTCAATTACTTTTAATCATTAAGTTAAATTGAATTTATACATTTTCACCTATTTAGATTAGTCAATTACCTGATGATATCAATTGTTTGATTAGTCTTGAAGAATTATATCTTTGTGAGAATAAGCTTACCATATTACCGAATACAATTAGTCAACTTGAACAACTCAATACACTTGACTTAAGTTATAATCAAATGAATAATTTACCAGATGATTTATATAAATTAAAAAATTTAAAATTAGCTCATATATACAAAGATTTCAATAAATATGGTCTTTGGCTTCAAGGGAATCCTTTAAATTGTCTAGCACAAAATTTATGGAAAACAACTGATACAAGAAATTTATGGAAATTTTTAGAGGTAAGAAATAGTACTTATTGTATAATATTGTTTTATTATATTTCATGTAATAAATTATATTGAATTAAATTTTAGCGGTTTTTTTAAATAATTAATAATTTATCACTATAAACCCTTAAATTTAATTGATTTTAAGTGTTCATTAGTGACTAACTTCAAAAGATGAGTCCTTAAGTTGCAACCAGTTGAGGAAACTACGTGACCATAAGAACAAATAATCAATGATGATATTGACTGATTGTCAAGCTATATCATGAACTGAAAGAAGTTGGAAATATGAACTATTGAATTCTGATCCAGTAGCTGAGTTGTAACATGTTGACCACAGAACCTGAAGGTTCTAAGTTCAATGCTTGACGAGACGAAGTCATAGATACTTACTACTAGAACGAGATAGGTTAAAAAATGCCAACTCTTTTCTAATGAGTAATTTCAAGCATTTTTTCTAGTATTATGAAAAAGGATGGAAGCGTTAACACTGAGGATTATCAAGAAATTCAATCGAATACTAGATGACATTCAGCTAGAATCTACTTCCATAAGTTCTTATATGTTCAATGATTCGTAATTATTTGTTATTTGTCCCGTAGGTTCCTAGTCGAATATATGGCTTCATAGCACGTCATCATCTCACTCTCTTCTCTTCAGTCTCTTCAAACTGGCTCCATCACTGTTGTCTGACTTTAAGCTTTCATTTCTTCCTCATATCATCTCATTTCTCCATGTCATCCTCGCCTCGAACAACTAACTTGTCATTTCCCATTTGGCTTACACTAGATGGCATGGCCTGGTCTGAAGTGTGATGTCCCCAGTCGGTCTTCTCAGCCTAGGTCTAATCCAGTAGAACTCCACCTTCTTCTTGTGCATATTTGTTAGACGATAGCTTGTTGCTCCTTTGGTTCGTTGTTACCAGCCAGTCAGCCAGAGTTCCTCTGTGCTTATTCTCATTATTCTGACCAACTGATCTGATCTGATCTGATCTGATCTGATCTAATCTTCAGTGTCAGTATCCAGTGAGCGAGCTAGCGTAGGTGGTAGGTATCCATGATGTATGATTGTAGTTTGTTGGCAATACTTCTCACAACGTGTCAAGTATCTCAAACATCACATAGAAGCACTGACTTACTTGACTAACATTGGTGTTGGAGATCCGGATGTTGTTGACGCTTTATGCTGATTGCAGTGCAGTGTAGTTCAGTAGATCTCCACACTGATTTCCGATTAATGGAGACCTGACTTGCAGTCTTTCCCATCATATGTTTGATATCCTCATCTGTGTATGTGTCGTCGTCGTCGTTGTCTGTATTTGAAAGGATGCTGTTTAGTAATGTGGGTAGGAGAAGGAGATAAGTTGCTTTAAACTTTAAACTGCATTGATGTTGATCGTTGCTTGTTGTTGTGGTTTGTTGTTGGTTGAGTATCTTGATCACCTGTATCTTCTCAACGTGAAACTGAATGAAGTCCTATCATTGCTGCTTTGTCCTGCCCTGTGTGTTCTTTCAACTTGTTAGTTTTTGCCTGTATATTTTCGAGTTGGTGGGAGGTGAGAGCCTATACATGAATGTAACATCTTTGATGAAATCCAAATATTATAGGGCCTTTTCGCCTGTCAAACAGCCAACGCCCATCTTCTCGCTGCTTCTCACATTTGTCTATTGCATAATCCAGTCCAGTCCAGACCAATCGAGTCGAGCACAATCAGGAAGTTCATCGATGATAGTAGGCGGCAACCACGTCTCACTTCTATCTTCACTTCGAACAGGTCACAGAGCTTTCCATTATGTTGCGAATCACTTGGCATGTACTGTCGTCATATATCTACTGCTGAATGAGATTGATAAGGGTTTGTGGCACCAAAACCGTAGTATTGCAGCAACTGCCATATTAATTCTCAGTTGACACTGTCGAAGGCCTTTTCAAGATCGATGAAGCTGAGGTAGAGAGTTGGCTGACTGCCATTCTATGCTCTCTTCTATGATGATGATCAGCGTAGTGTAGCGTTGCAATTTCATCTATACATGATTTGTTCTTCCTGAATCCAGCCAGCCTGTTCCGGTCGTATTTTTTAATCTCTCCAGCATGATGCGGCCTAATACTTTTTTCTTGGGGCGGACAAGAGCATGATACTTTGAATGATAGACATGGTAAAGACGGAAACGAGTTTAAGAAGCCTGATAATATGGATCATATTACAGTGATGAGTAAGTTTGATAGTAACCCCTTCATTTACCCATTGAGGGAAGATAAATGATGTCGACATTCAATTCGATCAAGATAATGAACAGCACAGAGTACTTGCCATGAGTTTACAACGTGACAAATAATGTTTAGTACGATCAAACCTGTCGAAAACCAATCTGTGCACTAAAAGTTCAAGAAAAGTTCCCAAGCAGTATCAGCGCCAGCTCAAATATCAACATCAATCATTATATCGGTACTCAAGAGGTTTCAAAGCCCAGCATAAAAATCAAATGAGATAATTTCTTTGCTTGATAGTGGAATACTATACTAAGGACAATTTATGTTCATAGACAGCAGAGTTTTGTGCTAGCCAGCTCCCTGGCTCAAAACAGATGTCATTTATAACACTGAGGCTTGCTTGCAACAAGAACGAAAACAGTTGGTTCTCTGAAATGAAAAGGAATATTTTTATCTCAGGAGAAGGATTGTGTCACTCGAATAGAAAGGTTTAATCCCCAAGCTTTCGTTGTTATTCTAGGCAACATCATAAGCAGTACAAACTTCAAAGAGAAGTGACCCATAAGGTTTTCTCCACAAGTAGCTTAGTGAGGTACGTTTTAAATCTTGAAGAATTTCATTTTTTTTTTCATCCAATGTTTCTACTACAGACTCCTTAACTAAGCCTAGAATTTTTTGAGGGGGTTGTGGAGATTTGGAAATATTTCAAGTTGTTATTCATCGAAGACTGACATCCGTTGGAGGAACAAAGGAAACCTGGGAGCATTGGACAGCTGTTTCCTCCGACTAGTATGGGACTCCTCAGCAGTGCGCACACACCACCCCACACCACCACCACCAGCAGGGATCGAACCCGCGACCTTCAGGTTCCGCGACCAGCGCGTTACCATTGAGCTAGCCACTGGGTCAGAATCCAATGCTCCATATTTCCAACTTCTGTTAGCTCACGATATAGCGCAGACCGCCACCCAATGTCATCGTTGAGTATTTGTCCTCACGGCCATCAGGCTTTGACTCCACCGGTCACGACTTGTCATTGGAACTTCGGGAATACTTCTCGAAACTAGTCACCAACGAGCACTAGTTCAATTAAATTTTTTGAGGGGGTTGTGGAGATTTGGAAATATTTCAAGTTGTTATTCATCGAAGACTGACATCCGTCCAGTGCTCCCAGGTTTCCTTTGTTCCTCCAACGGATGTCAGTCTTCGATGAATAAGCCTAGAATCCCTAGAAAACCTTCCCAACCAATCAGTGAACACCAAAACCCTCAAGAAAAAGCCATATGATCTTAAATATGAGCTCTTCACCGGCTAACAAGACTTAATGTAGACAGGTGTAAAAGCCTATTGAAAGCGTTCATTATTTCACAACCATTCCGTAGGAATTCCCTGTAGCTTTCACTTCCTCATCATGAATGAACATCAATTTGTTCATATTGCATCTGTTAGTCACCTAGTTCCGGATTGCTATTTTGTTGAGAATAAGCGAAGATAGATAAAATTTGTTGTATTGTAGTATATATTTAATGAATTTATTGTCACCTGATATCAATAGGTTTTTTCACATCGTAGACTATTCATATTAGTGATCGGAAAAAATATTGTCTACTCATGAGTAGTTAAAAATTATTTGTGAAATAATTATGTGGTATTTAATATTCTATTTACAGAACCAACAAATGAGAAAATTATCCAACATCCAACCGAGGAAAATTATAGTTATCGGTCATAGATTCTCAGGAAAATCAACATTAATCAAACGTTTAATAGCAGAAAGTTCAAAAAATGGAAATACACAAGTTGGTCTTATTTCACAAATGAATGAATCATTATCATTTTCTGAATCTATAATGAAAAATGTTGTAAATCCTGTTGAATTACCTTTAGGATGGTCACCAATATTAATTAATCAATGTATTTCACCGAATGGATTTAATATTATATTTTATGAAATCACTATACCTACAGCTTGTAGTCAAGATCATATTCATTCTTTAGTTTGTTATCAAGATACTGGATTAGAATTAATTTTACCACATATCTTAGATACAAATTGTTATTATATTTTAGTGTTCAATGCTAATCTAATGATAAATATGAATGAAAGTAATTTTACAAGTAAATTATGGTCATATATACTAACAATACGAATGTATGCACCAGGTTCTATGATCAAATTAATAGGGACACATACTGATCAAATTGATTGTTCGAATAATAATAATAATATTAAATCTATTGAACAGATTTCAATCAACTCTGATAACTTTATTATTGAACAAAATTGTATACTGAATGTTAATAAAACAAAAAACTCACTTATAGATAGTCAATACAATGAAAATTTTGAAAATAAACTTTCTTTCAATAGTATATTTCAAAAGTATATATTCAATCAAATTAGCTTACATTTAAAAAATTTCCAATTTTTCAATTTTTCTAATCTTTATAATTTTCAAAATGATAATATAGTTACTATTTTTGAAAATATATCATTGATAAACTTATCAATAAATAATTTAAAGAAAACAAGGTGTAAAACACTTGAATCCTATTCAATTATCAATAGCGGTATAAATGAATTATGGAATGAAATTGAACATAGAATTATTTCTATAAATCAATTATTTATAATAGAAAATTATTTTAATATAAAATCTTGGCAATCATTAATTATTTATATTCAAAATAATTTAAAATCATTTTTTATGATAAAACTTGATTTACAATCAAATTATTCATTAAATAAAAATATTAATAATCAATTAGTATTAAATAAAATATTATTCAATCAATTAGGTATTGATAATATTGAAAATTGTTTAAAATATTATCATATAATTGGTAAATTATTATATTTTTCAAAGCATAAATATTTAAAAAATTATTTAATTTTACGTCCAACAATATTTTTTCATATAATATATGGTATATTGAATCCACAAATAATTGGATCTATTTATCAAGATAATAATAATGAAAATAATAAACAATTACAATATAATAAATGGTATTTAAGTTCATTATCAGGTTATTCATATAAAACTTTAATTAATTACTTTAATACATGGAATCTGCATAAATCATTTCCATATCAAATGATCAAGTGTTTACTTCCACCTATCACCTATTCTATACATCATCAATTGAATCAAATAAATAATAATGAACAACAATTAAAACAATATACTAATAAACAATACATAGGTAAACAACGACAAGTATATAAATTGCCTATAAAATCAATGAATCAATTAAAATCTTCTAAAATAATATTAAAACAAATTGAAGGTATTAAAGATAACTTTGATATATCAATTAGTTCAATATGTCCATCGAATATATCAACTAATAGTGTATTATTACTTACAGATTTATTAGAAGTTGGATTTAAAACTAATGATTTATTTACAATTAATAATAATTTAAATAATATTCAATTGAATCATTTAAAACCATTCATTATATATCCTTGTCTTTTTTATAATAATAATTTAATGAAAATTTCTTATAATAATAATTTATTACATTCTATTAATTCTAAATTACAAAATAATAATGATAATAATAATATAAATGAATATATTTTAGAAATATGGTTTCCATTAGGTAAACCAATGGGTTATTTTAATCGACTTGTAGTTTGTTTATTTAAATCAATATGTGATGAAATAAATTGGAGGGAATTCAATGTTTCAATGCCACCTTTAAAGTATTCAGAAAAGATTATATTAAATAATTCAATGACTAAACATAATACATTTATAATTGAACATAATTATTTTGATATTATATTAGAAGAATTAACTGTGAATGGAAATATGTTTGCTTTAACAGAATATAATAATATTTTATATGGAATTAGATGTATTCAATTATGTAAACAACCATATTCTTTATATGATAATAAACAATTAGAAGAAATCCCTTTCAATTCACTTATATGGTTTATTGAATCATGTAATCAATTAAATAATGAAATTCAAGGTTTATATTGGTTTTGGTCAAAATAAATGTATTCTATAAAACTTTAAACTTAATACAAATGAAAGTAATTGTTACTCACACTTAATTGATTAAAAATTTAATAAAACAATGGTAAAGTATTTATGAAAGTTAGAACGAAATAAACTAAGAAGGATAATTTGAGAAATAATACCTTAATAGAAGGTTATTCATATCAGCGGGGGGGCGGGACTTGTTGTTGTCTAGTTGTTTCATTCTGTTTCTGTAGTCTAAAGGATTTGAAGTCAGGTAGCTTTTGGCGGGTTGATTGAGACATCCAACCAACAACAAGTATCGAAAGCAAGTTATTGCTTTCATCTACCCAGTCAGCATCGTCTCAACTACAGGTGGAACATGCATAGATGAGGATTTCAATGCCAAGATAGGAAAGACTGCAAGTCAGGTCTCCAATAATCTGAAACCAGTGTTGGGATCTACTGAACTGTACTCAGCATAAAGCGTCAACAATATCCGGTTTTCCATCACTAATGTTAGTCAAGTGAGTCACTGCTTCTATGTTATGGTTGAGAGACTTGGCACGTTACGAAAAGCATTGCCAACAAACTACAATCATACATCATCAATACCTATCACCTACACTAGCTCGCTCACTCGATACTCAAGATCAGATCATATGAAATCAGATGGTCAGAATAATGAGAATAAGCAAAGAGGAACTCTGACTGGCTAGCTGGCAACGAAACAACGAAGCAAGAACCTATCGCCTAACAAATATGCACAAGAACAAGGTGAAGATGGATTGGGCATACACTGAGAAGATCATTTGTGGACAACACGCTCCAGTGCAGACTGGATCGTTGACTTGAATCCAAATGGGAAATGACGAGTTGGTTGTTCGAGGCGGAGATGACATGGAGGAAGTAGACGGTATGAGCAATAAATGAAAGCTTGTGGGCAGTCAGTGATGGAGCCAGTTTGGAGAGAGTGGAGAGAAGAGAATGAATTGGGGACGTACTAGTGAAGCCGTATATTCGACTAGGAACCGAGCGGGCTAATCTGGAGCTAGTAATGGTCCTCACCACACCTTTAATTAACCATGCTAAGAGGTATTCACAAGAAGAGGAAACTAAATTCTCAGAATAGAGGCCGATATAATAAATAATGTATAATCTACAACTGCTTCAACTGCAGCTTACTGTTAAGAGAAGGAAACTATACTTAATTGGGTAATTTAAAAGTGAACGTTATACCTCATAGCATACACATGTTCTGATTTCCGTCAGCTTGGAAAGCAACACGACTTCTAGATTGACGTGTGACTTACCCACTGTTGAGCTTCGCTTCTATTCATGATGCTAAGTATCAGTCAGCTTAAACGGTAATCAGCTAGTAAATTAGTGAACAGGAATCTACAAATAGACAGAGAGACGGTTAGAAATAATAAAGAAACTCGCACACAAGTGCATCCCCTCAAGTTGCCCTACTTCATAGTAGTATATAACTAACAGGTGGTTAGAAGAAGAGTGACATCAAAGTAGACAAAGTTATGTGAGAGAATAAACAATTTGGAAATGAAGGTTAGTGAGAATATTCAAGATTTCGAAGATGTCAGTGAGTGAATAGATATGTAACAGTGTGACCAAGTTCCAGCTACTTTGCTACTCTAGTTTCGGGAACTCCAGATGGGTAGTCTACATTTACCAACACAACACAAAGCATCAGTCAAAGACTTCGTGGACTGATGCTATGTCTTAATCTGATCACCCTGAAACGTCTTCCAACTTTCTGTGGCATGGTACGTGGAGGTAGACAATAACTCAGCATGCGTGGTAGATGTCCAAACCACCTTAGTCAAATAAGATTCACAACCTCACCAACTGACTTGCCTATCATGCTAAGTACCCTTTCTTTGATTTCAACACTGCTCATAAGACACGAACACCAATCCCTTCATACCCTTTTAGTTTTAGAAGCTGTGTATCACAGCCGTATAACAGGATACAATAAACTGCAACGTAGTATACCTATCCTTTGGTTGACATATTCCACCACTTCACTTTCTATCATTAAACTGTAAGTGATTATAGACCAGTCCTGGAGTATCATCTTACATTTGACAGGTGCTGAATCCATTTCTTACTATGTGAAATCTCTGTAAAGTCTATCATCAGTTTATTCAACATTCAGAGTGCTGTCTTGTTGCACTGACATATAACCACCAGAAGGGATTTCTTTCAGCGAATCAAATAATTTCGTTACTTAGTAATGATGAATAGTGGCTAGCAGTGGAATCCAGGACGCACATTTCGTTCTATTTGGGACTAACCAGTCATCTGATGCAGGTACCTACACCCCAGTGAGTGGTGCTGTCCCCATCGGGACTCAGGAGCGATTACTGCAAACGCAAGAGCTCTATCCACTACATCACCGAGCCACGACAACAGCTTCCTGTGCGATTGGTATAGTTTTAGTATAACTGCTTGTATTATACCGTCATTGATTAGACCGAATTGATCAGTCTCTGTTGGCATATGGGACCCGGTGCGGATGCCTTGATATTATCTGTGTTCTTCCCAGTGAGCAAGAGCCCGTACAAGAGCCTATATGCCAATAGAGACTGATCAATTCAGTCCAATCAACGACAGTGTGATATAAAACCATCATACTAATTTCGTTATTTCATTACCAAAATGGTAGTAAAGCTATCACCAAACACGCCAACATAACACCATAAGTTAAGAGTTTACCTATCTTACTACATACAAGGATATGATGAAGACTATACCAGTCATTCAGTAGATTATCAATTGCTGAAATTCACATTTCATTAAACAGCTCATATATATTGAAGAACAAATTTCCCTGAGTTCACTTCTTTAACACCTAACCTATGATGAAGACGAATTATGAAATAATCCCTATTTAGCTATGTAGATTTGGTACTTGGAGGATGCGTTGAATGTTGTAGGAAAGTCATATTTTTGTGCTGATTAACTGCCATCAGTGTCATATATGTAAAACCTCACAGGATACTTACGTTCCATTATAGACTAAGACTTATATTTCTCTGTGTTATACAGATTATGTGTAGCCCATTACAGAATGGGAATATATGCATGCATCATTCATTAAATGTTTATCAGTATGACATTTCAGTTCTAACAGTTGATTGAAATCTATCATTTAAACTTTTTAGGAAAAGTAAGAAGTTTCTGGATTCGACCTGTCGGAGTCGAGAGTCACTTATGCATACTGTTGAAAAGTCCCATACTAAAACGAAACAGCTATCCAGTGCTGTCAAGTTTCTTTATGATGTTCCTTCATTTGATATCAGTCCATAATGAATACTAACTTGGAATCAATCCTTAGATTGTAGGGATGCGTGTTACAATTCCGCAAAGTTTGATCAACCCTACTTAACTTGATGTGCTCTAGTACCTGCTTAACCAGTACTTTACCTAACGTGTAAGTATCGATAACAAAACACAAATCAAAAGAATTGATAAGCAATGTATTTGAAGGAGCTATGTAATTAATTAAAGTAAGTGTAATAATAATGAATGAGGGAAAAGTTTAATCAACTTATCTGGCTTGTAAGGCTGAACTAGGGACTCGGAGTACGAGTGTGGTAATCAGTACAATGAAGCGCAAAATGGAGTCCAAGCCTGCTCGGATGCATGCTCGTTAAAACACCCTAAGCATCCAGAGGCAAGCTAGAGATTTATTTAGTTAATTTAATTTAAACTATTGATTTTAGCCTCAGTTATATTTTGGTGCCAGGAAGGTGCACTACAAGATCACCAACCTCCCTCCCACAAATTCCAAATAGGAAATAGATTTGTATACAGTTAAACAATAATTCCCATATAACACTCATGGCTTTGAAGAAAGAGATATGTGATGGAGCATATGGAACCACTGGGTGAGAGATTCAGTGCTTATCAACTGCATCTGAATCAATCTCTGCTAATAGTGTTCCATCAGAGTTTTAAGCTAACAAGAAGTACACATTGAACGAATCTTGTTGGTTATCCGTTGAAGTATATAACATTGAATATTCAAAGACTAACAGATCATAATTATTATTAGGCTAATCTAAACATAAACTATAAGAAGTTATTGATAAGATTGAAGGGTGTACTATAAGATAAGAAATACACATCACGTCATTTCAATTTGTATATTTACTTGGTATCTTTCTAACACTGAATATTTGCACTTTTTGTCTAAGCAACTAAATGTCCAACCTCGCATAGTTAACTAGTACACTAATCACCAGCCGGTCCTAAACCCGAATAAAGAGGGAAGGGCATAGGGCGGGCAAACCTATACCGGTAAACCAATCCAATCACTAAAGAAACTTCATAACACAAAGAAATATTAAAAATATGAATAAACTTATTCCTCACTGGAATCGGAGAGGTGAAATGACACCGGTTGATGAAAGCCTTCAAGAAGCTAATTAACCGACGTCTTCTCTCTCTCTCTCTCTCTCTCTCTCTCTCTCTCTCGAGGAAAGCGAGAGTAAGAATGGGGACATGGATTGTCCACACGATGTTTGAACCTAGTTGCCTGGCAAGGCTATCCAGATTGACACAGAGATGAGAAGGTATCTCACTGAAGTGCTAGAAATCTCCGAGGAATCTGTAGATGGAATGCAAGTGGACTCTCCAAACTGTCAACTGCAGAGTCAATAACCTACTCCGATGTTGTCATCCAGACGACAAACACGAGCACACTGAGTTATGGAGTGGTAATCTTGATGTCCCCAACAGCATGGAAGGCTCTCTGTCATGCAGTGGGAGCCAATCTCCTCCTCCTGCAGCACCAGCATCATGACACCAAGATGGATTGAACTGAAATGGAAGGGAGGGAGGGAGGTCACAATCATACAATGCAGATGAAGAGGAGGAGGAGGAGGAGGAGGAGAAGGAGGAGGAGAAGGAGGAGGAGTACGAATTCTACAGACAACTGCAATCATTGATGGACAAGACCCCACCACAGTGGCGACATGGAAACGCAGTTTAATGGGTGGGGTGACATGAAT